ACTTCCGTAATTTAAGCACAGATTTTTCAAACACTAATATTAGTATTCATATAACATTTGTTCATTCAACCATATGATTATTTATTGATTATTTAACTTATGAGTTGTAAAAGTTCTGTCATGTTTGAGGGTAATTTCTTGACCCATGACAAGAAGAATCACCACCGAGAGACAGAAGGTAAGTTTAAATGATTTATTTTGAATGGGAGAGGTAGATGAAGCTTCTGCAGGACTGGAGGGATCCGTGGGGGGTTGTTTCCTGAATGATCCGGTAATTTGTGGGGGGATTAGTCAGACCTGGCTGGATGGGGAGACCGAGGAGCTGCAGGTGGATAGGTGGGTGACGGAGAGCTGGCGATAAGGGGTAAACGGCAAGACTGGAATGTGGTTGATGGTTCCGGAGATATGGCAGAGAGTGGAGATGAACAGATGACTGGAACCTGGAGGAATCAGGAGGGCAGAGCAGGTTAACTGCCAGAAGGGCAGGAACAGGCGGACAAACAAATTCTTTAAATTGTTTTAGGAAGGTCAAAATGAGGGCTAGAAACTACCCAAGACTGAGTATCATCTGGCAATGGTGAGATGTCCTGCTGCTCCTTAAATCCCCTGATCGCTGATGAGCTGATTTGGCACAGCTGGGCTCTCCAGACACACCCACCTGTAAACAACACTCAGCAGAGATGGTAATGCAGCACAGATCATGACAAGTTCTTCTTTCATGAGTGTGCAATCCTGCGGTCTTATCAAAAGAAGGCTTTTGTTTGGGAACATAGGCTGATATCTTGTTCCCCCTGAAATGTCAACAAGGGCTGCAGAATCTTCTGGGCTTTAGAAGACAGAATAGAAAGTCCACTCAGATAGTGGAATTTGGTCTGTAGGTGACCGGACCTTGTGTCGGTCCATATAAAAGTGAAAATTGACCATTTCTGGACGTTACATGTGAGACAGACTCATTACGTGCAAATCCAGATATTTCAAGCCTCTGTTTGTTATAATTGTGATGAATGTGGTTTACAGCTTATGCAAACAACAAAAAATGAGTGTAAAGGTTACATTGGGGCAGCAGTAGCTCAGGTGGTAGAGCGGGTTGCCTCATAATCGGAGGGTCATGGGTTCGATTCCAGCTCCCGCCAGGGGTATCCTGCTGTTGTGTCCTTGGGCAAGACACTTCACCCAACTTGCCTGTGTTAGTGGTGGTCAGAGGGGCCGACGGCGCCAAATGGCAGCCTCGCCTCTGTCAGACCTCCCCAGGGCGGCTGTGGCTACAAGTAGCTTACCATCACTAGCAGTGTGTGAATGTGAGAGTGTGTGAAAAGCGTCTTTGGGTGTCTTGAAAAGCGCTACATAAGTTCAATTCATTATTATTATTATTATTTTCTAGACTCAAAGTGTCACACTCTAATCAGCTAATGAATCCAAAACGCTTTCAAGGGTTCCTGAGCCTTTAGGTGGTTTCCCAGTCTAAGCTGTATTACTGACATAAATGGACTTTGCACCATATTCTTGTTTTTTGAGTTTCGCCTTTTAACTGAAACCCATAAAAATATTTACAGAAAGTGTGCAATAATTGTACAAAAGTAGGCAGGTGCATACGTTTGGGTACTGTTGTCAGTTTATCGATTCCAAAACCATTAGAAATAATTATTGGAATTCAAATTGGTGTGGTAAGCTTAATGACCCTTGACCTCCATTTACAGGTGAATCCAGTTATGAGAAAGAGTATTTAAGGGAGCCAAATGTAAGTTTCCCTCCTCTTTGAATTTTCTCTGAAGAGTAGCAACAAGGACTCTCAGAACTCTCACATGAGCTGAAAACAAAGATTGTTCACCATCATGGTTTAGGTGAAGGATACAGAAAACACTTTACACAAGGAGATGCTGTACGTGAGAGTGATGCAGAGGAAGCCTTTTCTCCACCCACAGCACAAACAGAGCTGCTTGAGTTGTGCTAAAGCGCATTTAGACAAGCCAGCTGGGAATCGTGTTAAAGTGGAGGGACACATGGATTCCACTCAATATCAGCAGATTCTGGAGATCAATGTACGGGAATCAGGTACAAAGCTGAAGCTGCACCGGGGCTGGATCTTTCAGCAAGACAACCCTAAACACTGCTCAACATCTACTAAGGCATCCATGCAGAGGAACAAGTAGAACGTTCTGGAATGGCCATCTCAGTCCCCTGACCTGAATAGTATTGAACATCTGTGGTGTGAGATAGAGAGAGCTGTCCATGCTCAGAAGCATCAAACCTGAATGAACTAGAGATGATTTGTAAAGAAGAATGGTCCAAAATGCTTTCAACCAGAATCCAGACTCTCACTGGAAACTACTGGAAGCATTTAGAGGCTGTTGTTTCTGCAAAAGGAGGATCTACTAAATATTGAGTTATTTCTTAATAAATTATGTTTAAACAATTATTGCACACTTTCTGTGAATCCTATTGTTTCACTTCTTATTTTCCACTGTGAGTGTTTCCTAGATCATATATTTAACTGAATGTTTTATCATGAAAACCAACAACTTATTAAGGAAAATCATGAAGATTAACAAGGCTGCCCAAACTTCCGCATCCCACTTTAGCCACTGTTCTTCTGTGCGTAAATCACAGATCTTGAAAAGCCAAAATCAAAGTGCTTGAAAAGTGCCAGGATTTTACTTTGACAAAGATGTGTGAACCTTGAAAAAATATATCATCTTTCACATTACCATACAGATAAATCTGCGGCTCAGTGATGGGCACCGTTTCACGGTTCAGCACCAGGGCCAGCTCCCGCTGGCTAAGGCCTCCGTGGAGTCAAATAAACTTTAGTTAAAGAGCAAGTCACCCCCTACCAGATTCTAACTCCACTCCCACTTCATGTTTGAAAAATGCAACAAATGCTAACAAATACACACACACACACACACACAGGCTCACGACAGCATTGTGACATCATAATGTACCAGTTTACATCATAGCATACCTCTTAGCCAATAGCGGTGGCAGATTTAAATTAGAATACAGGGCAGAGTTTTTACCTGACAACGGCACAACACTGCCAGTTTTAGGCAGAATATTTAAATTTTAACTAAGATAGACTGAAGTGCCAAATTATTGACGACACATGTCTGCAGCACGATTAGACACTCGTTTATTTAGTTTATCAGCAAGAAAAAGTTTATTTGGGGGTGACTTGCTCTTTAAAGTCTGCATTTGAATCTAAACTGTCATCATGAAGAAGGGAGGACAAGTGCCGGTGTGAAACCCGTTTCCCGCTGCTTTTATGTTTCCACGGTAACATATTGTGTAGACCACCTTTACAAGCTAAACAACACTTTTCCCTGCAGCAACATCAAGGATACACTCTTATTATCAGCATAATAATGAGGCAAACTGTTAGCAACTGTGCAGACATGAGTAAATCACACTTATTATTCAATTAAAAACTCCTACCTAATTACCTCATTTGTGCATGTTGAAAGAAAAACTCAGAAACACATTCACTGTCTGAGCCATCAGGCACTGGCGCCCCAAAAAGCCTCTTCACTGACTGCAGAGCCAATTTCAACACAACAGAAGACTTTTTGATGCTAAAAATGAATAAGTGTGGCCTGTAGGGTGTGATAGTTGGCCTCAAGGAGCAGAAACCAAATGCAAACACGCAAAAAAGCATTTGGTTAAAAGATACTTTTATGATATCTGACAGATATGCATGTACAAAAAAGATAATCAAACCACCACAACATAAACAAGCAATCTGTAAAGCCATCAATATATCACTGAGAAAAAACAGAGTGTTGGTTTTTGGATTCTTATTCGTTTTGCATTCCAAACAGCGAGTCTTCTTGAAGAGACAAAGCATGTCACAACAGTAAAACGAGTTTCAAAAGCAGCAAATCCTCAAAGATGAAAGCGCTAATAGACAAGGGTCCAGGGTGTCCGTTCACCGTGGGGAAAGGTGACTCCTCCGCAGCCTCTTATCAAAACGCAGCAGCAATCAGCGTCATAATTAAACTGGAGCCTCCTCCCAGACCTCTCCCTCCCTCCTGCTACCCTTCATGCTTTATTTGTCTTCGTGTCTGTTTTTCTGCATCGTGGTTTCCTTTCTTGATCCCATCTCAATTATAGAAATCTTGTCTTCGCTCCTCAATCTCTCGACGGAAGCCAGCCTTTGCTCTTGCTGTTTTTATGTTCTCCCCTCCTTCTTCAGTATTCCACGCTGGCTTTGTCACTATAATTTGGTGCCGTGGCCCATCTGTTGTTTTGGCTGCTGTTTTCAGTGCTCTGCTGGAGTCTTTGTTGTTTCGCCACTAAATCTGTGATTCTGTGGCAACAACGTTGTGTGTTTTTTTGTTTCCTGCCTGTGATGTTGATGTTTTGTGTCTTTGTACGTTTTTTATTTGAGTGAGTGGGAGACGACTCAAGGAGGAAAAGATTATGATGTGTGTTGCCGTGTTAAAGTTGTGCGTTCGCGTCTCTGTGCGACGAGTCATTAGACAAAACGCCTTTGAATATTCACACCCAGCAACTGATAGCATAATGTGACCGAGCGCTGCAAATCATCTGAAGGCCCATAGATGCTGAATAACTCTGAGAGCGTGTGGTCCCATTCATCCCTGCGTTCCATCTTGTAACCGACACTCAGAAACGTTCATGAACAAACAAAAAGAAAGCATCCAGCATGATGGTAGACGGAGTTTTTTATTAAAAATAAACTAGTCATCAGCGTAGGCTGCAGGAATCTCTCCGATTCCTTTTCTTACCCGTTCCTGTACAGACTAAACTGAAGGCCATGTTTGGGCGTATCAGATGCAGGTATTTATTCAGCACATCAGACGTAGGTGCTTTTGTCTGGATGCTAATTGGCCTGATTTGATTCCCGCTGATGTTGGCTCTAGGTTGTTGCTAAAACCACATTTGTGTGTTCTTTTTCTGCCACTTTTCTGTCTTTTTCTTTCTCTTTCCTCCACGAATAACCGCCTCTCACCCAGTCTTCTCTGCGTCTCTTGCCTTTGTTTCAGGTGGTGCAGGTGCTGCGAGCGATTGATAGAGACGAGGGAGGGAACGACAGCACCGTGTATTTCAGCATCCCTCCAGAATCCACCGCTGCCCTCAACTTCAGCGTCAGAGACAGCGGCGGTGGGTGCTCCATCTTTCTACCTCTGTATGCTTTCTCTTAATTTGTTTCTGCCTCTGTTTCCCTGGCAGACAGGCAGCTTTGCCTCCACTTTTACTCCTAATCCCAAATACAATTCATGACATTCCCTGTTTTTTCCTATCATTCTTTCTTGCTCCTGCCCCTTCAACTCCCTCCTCTCGTCTTCTGCATCTTCCTCTTCTTTCATCCATCCATCCATCCATCCATCACCCAACCCTGGCAGCTCCATTGCTTTGCTTTACTCCATCCACTTCGGTTGCTTGCCTTCCTACTTCAGCTGCATCCATCCTCTCCTCTCCACTAAAACATAAACTCACTGTTTTCACACGCAAAAACAACAACATAGAGCTGCTTTATTTAATTTACTTCAGCTGAAGTGAAAGTAGCACCTTAAAGCTTTTCTGTGTATAAACAGTAAACGTTACACATATTCAGACATTGTTACCATAACAATCTTAAGTTTAATCAATCACCGTTCTCGCTTGTAAACAAGTTATCATATAATGGTTTATACAGTGTGCACAAATAACGAACATGAGATTCAGATAAAATAATATTTTGCTTTTTAAAAAAGTTTTAAAATTTAAATAAACAATTTGGTGAATTTTAACCGCTGATGTTTTCAGCTTTTGAAGCAGATACTCTTTTATCAGAACTTATAAAGCTCCGAGAGCCACGGTTGTAATATTACAACGTCAGATTTAAGTCTACAAAAATAAAACGTCCCCATTTTTTGTTCTTTTTAAAACCACATTTACATTGCTAGTAGGTCCTATTGTTCAGTTCTGCAACACTGTTGGCTGTTAAAATGTGTAAATAGACCCGTTTATCTGGCCTCCTAGAACAACATGTGAAAGGTTAAAAAAGATTTTGCTGTTGTTTTCTAAATTTGGGTTTTTGTTAAAGTGGCAGTGTATGGTTTCCTGGCACTAGGGGGCAGTACATACAGATATCTGAGGGTAGTTTTACACATCACCATGACTGTCGCTCGTTTAAAACACAGTGCGGTAAATGTTGTTACCTGTGGAACAGAAAGCATGCAACCTCCTGTGACTCCTCAGACTTTGATGGTCTTTCAGTTAATTCCATGGAGAGAATGCAATGCTGATTGTAGTTTTCTGGCGCTGCAGTTTCTGGATCTGCTTGGGGTCCTGCTCCTGCTATGCTCAAATAGTGGCAATGAGGCTTAGCCAAAATAAATTCCATCTATTTATCAAATCTATATTTCATGTAGGTTTTGGAAAGTTTAGAAATTTAGTTATCAAATTTGTGTTTTTTACTACCTAAATGATTTTGAACGCGGTAACGTAGCTTCCGTAAATCGTAAATCCATCCAATCATCTAGTGTGACGAAATCGACTGGCACAGGACCCCGAGCAAGCCTGAAGGAAGCATGCCGTGTAATATGACATCCCCCCAAAGACGATAGACCCGCGCCTTGTGTACTTTAGGCCAGAATGGTATGGTTATGTGTTCCGAAGTCGCCAGTAGTTTCTCAACAACTGGACATCATTCTATTCATTTTCATCAACATTTCGACGGATATTTTCAGAGATTAAAAATAAACATACACATCGTGTCTTTAATGCTCCTGAGGTAAAATATTAACTGTTTTGGTAGCACTTCCTTTTACATTCCCCTAATTACTAAGTACTTACATGGTAATTACATAGTAAGTTAAAGTGTATTATTGTTTCTGAGTTCTTAAACAGTTATTACCATGTAACTTAGGTTCAATTCTAGTTTTTATTTTTATTAATCATTCGCAGTAAATACTGAGTTACGCAATAACTACTCTTCATTACAATTATACACTTTAATTACACAATAATACACTTTTGCTTACAATGTAATTACCATGTAAGTACTTAATAATCAGGGGACTGTAAAAGGAAACATTACCAATATTTCTTTTTAACATTACTAATTAAAGCCTAAAATCACTGCTTATTCTTTAAAATTTTTACTTTTTAAAAAGAGTAAATCATACCCACTCCATGAAAATACAAAGAAAGAACACTCCTAACTTGGTAAAAATGTCTGTCAAAACCTAAATTAGAAACCATGAACAGATTTTCCTAGTTCAAAGTGTAACTGGAACAAGATCATTTTAAATCAACAACCATAACATGTTAAACATTAAAACAGTTTGTTTTGTGACTTCTGAGGGGAAAGTGAAAACCGGCATAAATAAAAGGCTTTCTTTAGATTATTTTCCTGAGTTCAGAAATTATTTGTTTGTTTTATTGTTGAAAATCTTTGAGGCGTTTGTTAAAAAAATCTCTTTGCTCTGAGAGTAAATCTGTAAGGCTTGTCGCCAGCATTCAGGCATTAATTCTGTTTGCTTCACAGCCAGACAGGACACGGGAAATTAAATAAATAAACAAATAAAAAAATCTGGTTAAAATTAGTTTTGTTTGTTTACAAATAATGCAGAATTTCTTTTCAGTAGTGTTGATGAGGCTTTGATATACTTTTTTTTTATTTGGGGGTTTTTAGTGGCCGAGGTAACTGCATATATACATGTACTTTTGTTATTGTTCTTCTTTGAGTTATTATCTAAGTGGTTGTGTTGCTATAACAAGTGCATTTCCCCGCTGTGGGATCAATGCTGTTTACAGCTGTTTACATTTATACAAGAAGTGAAGTCCTTAGGTTGATGGGATCAGTCAGGTAATCCCATGCAACTCCCTTTTTTAGCTATCTTCCCTTTACTTTTAACTCTTTAATAAATATTTTAGTTTAGTTTTTAGATTTTAAAGCAAAAATTTAGTATCAAGATTTAACAATCTGAAACGTTATTTTAGCTTGGGTGGGGTGGGGGTGATTGAGGACTTAGAAAACTATGTTTGACAATGTTTTTGTCACATTTTATAAGTTTCCTAGGATGCACATGCCAACTCAAGAGCTTTTACTTCTATTTGTTCCCACTAGAAGCTGCAGATTTTAAATATACAAACATCTATGTTGTTTATGTAAAGCAGTCTGATGCAGAATAAAACTGAAGGTTGAGGCATTTTGGGTTGAATGTGCTACACAGTTGCTGTTGACGCCACCAATTCCCATCAAATATTGCATCACCAGAGTGTACTTTCAGTCTCTCTCTCTCTCTCTCTCTCTCTCTCTCTCTCTCTCTCTCTCTCTCTCTCTCTCTCTCTCTCTCTCTCTCTCTCTCTCTCTCTCTCTCTCTCACACACACACACACACACACACGCACATTTTTTTTCACTTTGCAGCATAGAGATGAATCCATTCACTGCAGCATTATGAGGAAATTCCCATCCAGCCAACACCCCCCATAAAAATTTTTATTGGTTGTTTAAGCAGCAGAAATGTAGGATGCTTGCACTCAATCACCATTCTGTGCACGTACACTGAGGAGGTCATCACCTGTTACTGTTTAAAGCAAATGGCTGCAGGTTTGAAAGGACCTTCACTTTATTTGTGATCCAGTAGACAGACACTGGCTAGCTGCTCATACCCAGAATGCCTATCAGTATCATGTTTAGGGCCACCTGTTCAGTGTACATTCATCACGAATACTCCTTTGTTTTCATTCCTACCAAAATCCCCTCTACAACTGATGCATTATTCAGCATTTCTCAAAGTGCAAGTGCCTGGTGTTGCATACATTGAGCACTTGTGGGCGGCAAAGTCAAAAATAACCACCAAAGAGTCGCTGAAGAGATCCAAAAACCTGAATTGCAAAACCAGGAAGCATTTTGTGTGTATCTGTCATTTAGCATTTACATAGTCGGTAATGGTGAAGTGAAATCAGCCTCACATGCTCAAACTCCTCCCAAATACATGGAAACACATCAGTCATCATTTTTCCCCTGTGTTATAACATATAAGCCTGATGTGTCATAACTTGTAAAGATTACAGATTCAACTTTACTTGTATTTTTAATACGTTTCCAGGGGTCTTTAGTAAAAATGAATGCCTTGCAACCATCTCAGTGTCTTCCCTGGGACTGGGAGATTGGGGTTCAATTCCTGGTTGGGTCGTACCCTAACAATGGGACCCAATGCCTCCCTACTTGACACTCAGCTTTAAGGGGTTGTGTTGGGGGGTTAAACCACCAAACAATTCCCCAGCGCGGCCACAGCTGCAGCTAACCGCTCCCCACTGGGATGAGTCAAATGCATAGATGAGTTTCACCAATGTGTGATGATTAATGGGACTTTAACTTTGACTTTAACTTTAAGTTTTTTCCTGTGGGGAAAAAAAGCTCTGGTGCACCTGTTTGTGGACATAGAAGCCAGCTGGAGGAGAGAGTGGCAGGAAACGGCAGGATATTTGGACATCTTGCCTCTGATTGGCTAACAGCAACATGACTCTACCACTGACTTTTAGCTTTGCAACGTTGATGTTTTATCTCCACAAAAAACACGAGCCTGGAGGAGTTCTGCTGTGTGGTGGAGTTGCTAACGCTAACAGTTAGCTTCTAATAGTCGAGCCATTCTCTGCTGTTTCCTGGACGCTAAACCAACAACAGCCTTCCCCATCGCGAGCCAAGATGGGTGAGTCCGTGAATGTTAAGCGACAGAGTGAGGTCGGTCTGTGAGGCTTTTCTGAACTGAGCATTTGCGTCTGTTTTCTAGCTAACACAGGAAACAAGTGTAGAAGACTATTTTCACGTTCAGCCTGCGTGTTAAACAGAGTGTCTGGTCATTTTCAAAAACAACAGGTAAAAATTGTTTCTCAGTGACTCTGCTCTGTCAACATTCAGTGACTAATTTAAAACCTCATAAAAGTTGACCACTGCAAGCTGGTGCTGTGGTCTTGGGTCTGTGTTGACTGCACCAACGGAGGAACATGAGGACATGAAGCATCGTCTAACATCCAGATGAACCAGGGCCTGCACTGAGTACACAGCTGTGACTCCAGACCGCAACCCTTGTGAACAGCTGGACAATTATTATAATGACGATAATTATTTACTACATAAAGTTAGACGCGTGTTCCCAGACATTCCCTCCACCCTGCAGCCAGCAATGGGCAGGACCCTCTTAGGTGTGTTCTTGCTGTGTCGTATCTCTAATTCCATGCTGTAGTTCTTTTTTAAAACGCAGAACAGTTTTGTTTACCTGTTTTCCCGCTACGTTTCGTTTGCGGCTGCAAACTTCCCCAGGCTGACGCTGATGGTGGCGTCACTTCCTTCTCCGTTTATCCGCGGGCAGCGGAGGACGTTGTCGCCCTCTCCTGCCCGCTCTCCCCTCTCCGACGATGCAGTCCCATGCGCGGTCCAACGTGTAAACTCCTTCGTCCCTGTTTATGCAGAGGCTTTTGGCTCAGCCGTTAGCTGTGATGACTCCTCGGTTCAGTCCATCTGTCTTTTTCCTGGTAACTTTCTGTCAAGGAAATTTTTCGCAAAGCAGGTGCAAATTCTCCACCACATGCTGCGTTCGAGTCCTGAGAGAAAACCAGAACATCTGGGCTTCGGCAGATATCACAAGAAATCTAAAAGCTGAAAATATCCCGTTTTTGAAAAGCTTGTCGGTTGATTGAAACCCCACGATGGCTCACGGATCGGGAGGATACGCGCCCTGACATGTGGTTTCAAAGTCCTCTTTGATGTGTCATCCAGCAGCAGAACAGAGGAACAATAAGATCACACTCTGCTCCCTCATGGACAGCTTGTCACATAAATATGCTTCATTATTTGCTTTGTTACAGAACATAATGACTTGATCTGTGATGTGGATCACAGAAACACTTCTGGCTAATCATTTTTGTCATGTTGGTCATGTTGGTACAACTTTGCAGTGTCAGTCACTCTGATAAAACAAACCCACACACTCGTGTGTGTGTTGGTGCATCTGTAGGTTTCAGCGTTTCATTTGATATGAAATGTATTATTATGAACTTATTGTTATCAAAAGTCAGTCATTCAAAACCAAACATTGTCATTCTTCTCCCAGAAAGTGTGGGATGTGCAGATAATAATAAAATGTGTGAGTTTTACCATGCATGTGAAGGATGGGCTGTTGGATGGGAAAGTGTCCAACAATCTTCAGACATGTTAAATTATATTAAACCGTTTGATTAAACTTTGTACCCATTTGGGTAAAAATCTCAGTAGCTTAAGTTAAAGCTGTTTATGTCAATAGTTGTTTTTTCAGTGGCAGAAAAGAAGAAATCTAAAATTATTTGCAGCGATAACCAAAATGTTAAATAGACAGAAAAGACCGAAGTTAGCAGATTTGTATTTTTTCTGTTGTGGGCGCTTTAGATCAATCAGCAGCTGACTGGGGCAGCAAATTCAGCAACACGAGGTCTGGGATTTAGGGGCATCATTTGCAGATAGCAACCTCCTGCTATGATTCAGCACAGAAAGTGGAAACTGCAGCAAGAAGCTAACAGCTGTTTTATAATGAGTGTCTTCCTCTCTGTCTGTCTGTCATCCCCTCAGGCCCCACAGCCAGCCTGGTGCTGCTGTCCCAGCTCCAGCCGCTGTCCCGCTCCTCATCCTCCACCTTGACGCTGTACGTCCCACTCGTCCTGAGGGACGGGACGTCGGGTCTCACCAGCACGGGGACGGTCACCGTGTCTGTCTGTCCCTGCCTGAGGGGAGGGGCGCGAGCTGGGGAGAAAGAGAAGGATAAGCAGGCTGAAGGGGAATGGGACTGGGAGAAGGAGGCTGTGTGTCTCCCACAGCAGTCCATGCTGCCGTCTCCTGGACTCAGCACCGCCGCCCTGCTGGCCATCCTGGCTTGCGTTGCTACACTACTGGGTAAACACTTTGTTGCATTAGGTGTAGAGCTGGGAACAGCTATCGTTCCTGTACAGACCTCTTTGATATTTTTATCATCAGACAACGATAACCTGAGTAAATATCAAATTCAGGCTTTAAATTATAATTTTATTTATTAAGAAAACAGATTTCTCCCGGCCAACGTTGTCCCAGTCGACCCTGCGGAATTAGCCACATCAAGGCGAAAGCAGAGTTAAGTACAAAGAGCCACACACAGAGCTGATTAATACCCGATATTAAGATTTAAGAAGAAACCTAAACATGAAGTGGATATCATACTGTAAAGCAACACATCCAAGAACAAAACGACCCAGAACATCAACTGCAACAGCTCATACCTCACCTGGTTCAAGTTAAGGACAAGGTGCATGACTCAAATATAAGAGAGGAGGCAAAACTGCATCTGTGGGAAAGTTTGCAGCTCAGAACCTTGGCTGACCAAAGGAATAACAAGACCCAGCTCACATTTGTACACAAACATTTAGGAACATTTCAGAGAACTGACCAGAAATTAGTGGAATCTTCTGGAAGTTGCGTGTCAAAGCAACAGTCAGACACAGTGGTGGAAGTGTGATGGTCTGGGGCTGCTCTGCTGCTTCAGGACCTGGACCGTGTGCTGAACGTGATGGAACCATGAATCCTCCTCTTTAGCTTTGACCTTTGACCTCAAACATGCTATTCATAGTAGAAAACCCTTCAAGCTAAATTAAAACAATTCCTCCGCTGCAAGGCGAGACGCGTTACCGATGGTCGACGCTGTTGCTCCCAAGGATGCTCCAGGCAGGTTTTTGGGCTTAGGGGTTAAATCGTGTTTCCTTTGGGACCAGGTTGGCTGGGATAGTTTTTTACCCTAATAATTGAAATAATTTCATGAAAACTGCATTTAGTACTCAGGTTGTCCTTGTCTGACACGGAAATGTGTTTACTGATGTGAAACATTTAAAGGTGACAACAAATCCTTGATGGGGTGAATACGTTCCAACATGGCTGCAGGATCCTTAGTCCACATGTGACAGAATCAGGGAAATAACATTTTTTTCTGTCCTTTTGAAAGCCTTTTTTTTATTTAGCTTGCATGGTAATTAGCCTCCAGCACTTGTTGGTACACATGCAGTAAATCTATATCATTTTCTGTCTAGGAAGGATTTTAATGCTAATCTACAAATTAAAGAGCTGATTGGGTTAGTGTTCAGTGTTGTTTACCCGCCGCTACAACTACTCCCTCGATGCCTAATCTGCATATGGAAATAATGAAAGCAGCAGCGTAAATATTTTTCTTAGTCACGACTGCTTTTCATTCAATTTTGTCCCAGTTATTTCCTCCGCCAAGGTCAGCTCTAATCACCGCTAAAATAACATTACCGAGTGATTATCTGGGTTCTCTGCTTTTTTGACAGCACGGTAATCAAATGCCACTGCTGCCTTTTTAGAAATGCTCGGTTGCATTATGCTGAGTTGCTGAGAAGGCTCTGGCTCGCCGCCAGCGTGGTTGTCATTTCTGTTCAGGCCGCGGGATCACCACTCATGCCCTGCTGATAAAGTCATTATCATTCTAGAGGAGACCAGTTCAATCAAAACAGGAACGTGGTGTGGCGTGAAGGTGATCATGCACGCAGGCTTTGATGGATTTAAGGATTTCATTCGGTGAGTTACATGGGTGTGCAGAAAAGCAGGAACTGTACAAAACCTTGCAGCAAGTTAGCGTCTGCTGAAAGACGCTACAGAACGTGCCCTCATAAGACAAATAAATGTTCTGATTGAGGATTTGACAAAAGCTACATCAGCTAAATCTTGTGTAAAATGTTGTCTTTTAGGTATCAAGTGATTGTATGGCGGATGGATAGTGTTCCCCACTTTTTAATAAATAATTTGATTTTCTAGGAACAATGTCATGGCTGCAGATCAAGTCGGGTGTTTTCTGGAGTTCCTACAGCACGCCCCAATGTAGCACAAGCTCACACGCACACTAAGGCGTTTATTGATACATGTTTAGCTCGTCTAAACTGTGGCGGTTTAATTATAACAAAATAAATCGAACGATATAAAACTGCTCCTTTAGGGTTTGACAGTTTCCACATAGCTTCAAGACCAAGTTCACTATTTGCAATGGTCTCTGTTAGAAATGAATGCCTTGTGAGTCGATCTGTGTGGAAAAAAAGCTCTGGCGCTCCTGTTTCAGGAAGTAGAAGTTAAGCGAAGAAGTGGGGAGCAGAAGACGGCAGGATTTGGAGTCTTAATTTCTGATATTCTGACATCATCTTGTCTCTGATTGGCTAACTGCAACACAACTGTACCACTGAGTTGGAACACAAGCCTGAAGGAGTTCTGCTGTGGTGTGGAGTTGCTAAGGCTAACGGTTAGCTTCTTCTATCTGAGACAGTCTGTTCTAATCAGAGCTTTTTTTCAGGGTGATCGATCAAATTTTTAAAAATAACGACTAAAAAACAGCTTCTCAGTGAACTTGGTATTTAACACTTGCACTTTTAGAAGTTGAAACTTTCTATTATTTTGTCCGTTATTAAAGATACACGTAACAGTATAATGGTAAATCTGTTTCACCTGTGATGGTGAAGTACACGGCAACAATGTTAGTCACATCTGGTAACCCTAACTAGAGTAATATCAACGTCCGACATAAGGACTCCCACAGGTGTGAAGTTTGGTGGGAGTAATCAGATACGCTTTACAGTTCACATGGGATGAAAATGACTGTGATGTTTTACTTTATGGAGACAACACCAGCTAACAAATGCATCCTTGCCTTACCTGATGGTACCACCTCCCAGGTGGTTATATAAACTTTTGCACAGACTTACCAAATGTTTGAGGGTAAACCTGACCTCTAGCTTGCCTCATTATGACCCCTAAGCTTCCTTATTTAGGTAGTGGAATGGAAGTCATGAGACGATAAGGTATCCATTTGCCCAGCTGGAACTCAAAGTCTATTACAGAGTGGAGGCATGCAGTCTGCTGATATGATTTAGCAACCCGTAACCCAAGGCCTCTCCTGTATTCGCTTTGTCTTTGTGAGTTTCACCCCTTTGTCTGCATCCTTTCTCTCTCCCCCTCACTTCGTCCTTTACCTCCTTCCCTTTATTTCCCTTGTGATTTTTGCCCTGTTCCCCATTGTTCATCCTTTGTTTTTCTCCGTCTCCAATTCCCTCAATCCTGTTCAATCCTGTTGCCATTCCATCTGCAGCGGTGAGCGCCCTGTCTCTGTCCCTGCGCCGTCAGAAGCGAGACTCCCTGTCACCGTTGGAGGAGGACGACGTGCGTGAGAACATCATAACGTATGACGACGAGGGTGGAGGAGAGGCCGACACGGCAGCCTTTGATATCTCTGCACTTCAGAGTGCTCCGCACAGCTCCCGCTCACGTGGCTATCGCACCCTAGACAGCAGGAATATGTGAGTAGGCATGTTGTCGTACATGTTTAATTGCATTAAAGCTCCCAACTGGCCTCATATTACATGCTAAGGGAGAGACAAGAGGGGGTATACAAATACAGCCCTTTGTGGTAAACACTTTAATCATAGTCCAGAACTGAACCAATCCACTTAAAGGACACAATGAGTCTCCACTTGCAGGTCATCATCTATAACTGATCAAAATGCTGAAACAGAAGGCTATCAAGCACGACAGTCCTTGGAGACCGCTTTGTTCTGTCCGTTTTGTTAAAGCTCGTTTACGTTCTGCTACATCAGAGGCTTGTTTGCACCCCTTTGATGTTTCTGGGAAGCGTTGTTAATGCCTTTGGACTAATAATCAACTCCTGAATCCGTGTGCCAGATGGAGAGGCCGTAAACGAGTACAAAGGCTGTAGAATAGTTTATTGAAAATAGCTTTTTAATTTTATGGCCACAACAGCATTAAAAACCTTCTAAATCTAGTGCAATTCAGTGCAACAACCTAGAAACATGTTTTTATTTTGTTTTAGTTTGGTTGACGCAATGTCACAAAGACATAAGAACAAATAAACAACAGTTATAGTTTACATGCAAACAGGTTTAAATGTAGCTTTTCCTATTTGGTGAAAAAAGACTTCTAGCATAAAAAGGACACTCTCAGAAAACTGGAAGAATAATGAAAAACATTTTTCCCAGTTATTTTTTAAATACAAAATTATAAAAATGTACAGTCGAGATATCAAAATGCCTCCATTGGATAGTTCCAAGGCCAACACCTCTGCTGACCTAACAGAACACGTACGCATAAAAAGAAAAGAACATCAGTTAAACACGGTGGTGGTAGTGTGATGTTCTGCGGCTGCTTTGATGCTTCAGGACCTGGACTACTATCTGTTACTGATGGAACCATGAATTCAGAAAATTCTGAAGGAAAACTTTTATCCATCAGGATAAGGATCAAGCACACTCAGGTGATTAGAGTAGCTAATACCCAGATGCTGGGGCATGACCTTAAACAGGCCATTCTTGCTGGGAATCTCTCCAGAGTGGCCATATTAAATCAATTCCTCCCCGGTGATGACCAGTTATCACAAACACGTGATTAAATATGTTGCTGCCAAGACTACTGCAAGACAGCTATGACATTTTGGGGTTATTTACCTTTTCACATAGAGCCATGCTGGTTTGGTAGCTTTTTGTTTTAATAAATTGAATCTTTATTTAAAATCTGAGATTTTTTTTATTTGCTCAGGTTATCTTTTCCTTTTACCTAACTTTGTTTGATTTATAGTTCTTTAAAGACATACTCTTCGACTTTTACATATTGTTTCATCATTTTCTTGACCCACTAAGTGCTAAAATGACCCTTTACAGCTAATCAGTTCCAGTCCTGGAGGGCTGGTATCCAGCCCGTTTTAGTTGTTTTCCTGCTCCAGCGCACTTGAATCAGTGGGTGAATCACCTGTGCAGCTGCTCACCAGGATCTACTGAATTACCTGCTGATTTAAATCAGCTGTTTTGAAAAAAGGTTAAAACAAAAACATGCTGGATACTGGCCCTCCAAGCCCAGAATTGAATACTCAGACCTCCACCGCCTTCTGTGGCCAGGATAACGCACTTGCAACTTCAGACTGGCAAGCTGCTTCCTGTTGGAACTGGCATGCCTTTCGCTGCAGTCTGCTCCCAGCATGTTTCCTGCATGTTGTATATCATGAACGCAGCTGGTTGGTTTGATTTAGTGATGAACCACTCCTGTAGAAACTAATGAAGGCTGGGCAGACATTTCAGCTGTTAGGCGTTAAAAAGAGGAACGCACATTGAGGAGATATGTTTCATTTTTGTTTCTACTGACAGGATTCTAGGGGTGCTAAACGCAAGCCAAAACTGACAAGTGTGCCTTAAAACGCTGAAATGTAATTAAAGCTCCTTTCCGGAGTATTTCTCTTATCCGATGGCACCATCTAGTGGCTGACAAGCATATCACACTCCTTCTGTTTTTTAAAAATGGTGACTTCAGTTTAGAAGCCGCCAAACAGAGCTAAAACACGTTGTTTTTCAAGTATTATTCTCGTGTCATGTTGTGTTCTCATATATTTATATTTTAGAGACTTGGCCTTGAAAAGTTCATCAACTCTGCATCAGCCTAGGTACTTCCTTAAATTTGAAGCAAGTAAGCAGTAGTCTAACACTATTGGTTAGCTCTGGTCGGCGCTCAGTTTTCTATTGCATGGAGCTCTGCGGGACCGGGGGTGCGCTTAGCAAAAAAAAAAGAAAAAAAAGACATATTACTTACATTATATCACAGGACACGATGAGATAATCACGTTTATGGATTTCTGACAAATCATTAATAATTTCTGAAAGGGGAAAACTCTGGAAAGCTGCTTTAGTTGTAAAATGGCAAATACCTTTTCACTGTACTGTAGGGTAATTATTGCTGAAGGCTGAGACAAAAACACATTTTTATGCTTGTTAGACTGTACATTGTTGAAATAAAGCTGAGGTATGGATGTTTTGTGTTGTCCTCCAGCCGTTACACCCAGCACGGTCAAGACAAGTCCCGCACCTACAGCTGGGCTCAGACTCCAGGAGTAGATCACACCTATTCAGCACCCGGAGGACCTGGAGGACCCGTTTATGGTCGTCTCTGCTACAGCAGCCACACATTACCGGTTCTTCGCCGTACACCAGGTGGAACATTTGACCCAGGCTTGGCAGAACTGGCATATTGCATTCCAGGAGGTCAGCCAGACCATTCCCTGGTCATCCAGAACCAAGGAGCCATGGTCGGGCCAAAGGAGACGGGAGCGATGTACGTCGCTCCCACAGACCTCAGTACAGGAAGCCGAACGGGGAGTCGCACGGGCAGCCGCGACGGGACAGCGACGCAAAGTGGAGTTAGCACGTCCAATGGAGGGACTCCAAGAACCAATGACAGCAAGGAGAGAGGAGGAGGGTCAGGAGCAACGAACAGCTGCGTAGAAGAAAGTAGTGAGGACAGAGTCAACCACAATCAAGATCTGGACTGGGTAAGGACGACAAAGACACATCCTTTAGAGAAACGGAGACTAGTTCAACTGGTGGGCAGACGAACCTCATGTTGTCATAGATCGGAATGTTTTTTTTGCACTTAGAATTTAATTAATTAGATGTTTTCTTTGGATCCAGTTTTAGGTCTTTGGGGGGCTCTAAATTTTAAAATGTACATTGGTATTGTTAATGCACGCTTTAAAGTAATAAAACACACGGGAGAAGAGCCTGAAAGCAACAGAAAGAATAGATGTTGCTCTGCATCATGGAATAGAATTTCATTACTGCCTGGACTAATAATAAATTGCTGCAATGAAAATATAATTAAAGTTTAAAGGGACGTTATGGAAGTTTGACAGCCAAAACATGTATAGAAATAATAAATTTCTTCTTCATACATTCTCCTGCAATGCCCTGGTCCTGTAGAATGAGCCCTTGCATTTTTACTGATTGCCTGTTTTTCTGTAAAATCACAGAAAAAGAGAGCTGCTCGGGTCGAGCAGGCTGCTTCATGAGCGATCACGCTCAGGCATCGCCCGTAGCATTTGCTATCCGTAGCTTTAGCAGCAGAGAGAGAGGTAGTGCCAACTCAGCGACTTTGTCAACACCGACCGCTACTGGAGATCCTTCCTGCCAACAGCCATTGTAATATACAACAACTCTTTGATGACTTGTTAATTATTATTATTCTGAGCTACTACAGCAATCAATTTCCCTCTGGGATTAATAAAGTATTTTTGAATAGAATTTAATTGAATTTGTTGCTGTTCCTAATGCCTAGTGATGAATCTAGCTACATTTCTGAGGACCCTTAGCTACTTTCTTCTAGATATTTCCTGCAAATTAGCAACAAAATAGCCATCCGAATCATTCTTTGAACGTTGTTTCAGCTGTCATCAAAGATATAAATATTACAGATACTGAAAATGTCACTGGTGGTTTAGCTCACCTAGTAAGATGCCAGGCTCTCATGCAGAAGACCCAGGTTCAATTCTTGATGTGAATAGAGGTCATTTAGAGTTTCTTTTTTACACTAATAGTATTTTTTTTTTACAGTAAGATGCCCACATTTTTATTTGAGACTCGCCGAACGGCATTGAATTCACAGATAAAAAAGATGTGGGTTCAACTTTCATTTTGGAACTGTTTTGCAAGCAAGGGAAGGGAATGATCTGAGCATGCAGGAAGACTGACCCATCATAAACCTTTGTCAGCTGTGCTGAAGAGAAAGGTACAGAACCAAATTATTTAATTAATTAGCTGCGTGTTCTCCTGTCCTCTGTCCTCCGGACCACACACACACACACACACTCACACACACACACACACACACACACACACACACACACACACACACACACACACACGGGACTGTCTCAGCTGTTATTTTCGTTAAGGAGTGTGCACGTACAGCATGCGCGCCTCGTGCACGAGCCTACTATTGAATCTGTTGTTACTGTTTTGGCCTGAGCGGGCAATCGCGAGCATAAAAATTCAAAACTCCGTAAAGTCCCTTTAATGAACGACTTAATTTTTTTAACCAATGAAGCAAATAACATGTTAGCAGGAAATCAAGCAAATATAAAGGAATAGTTGAGTTGGCATTAAACTTATTATGAGAGGCAATTGCAGTGATTGAGCATCCAGGTGTTTTAATCTTTGTCAGTCAGAACAAACGTAGGATAACTTTGGAGGAAGATGATGGTGCAGATATATCAGCACTTTTATGTCCCATTGTTCCTTTTTGTGTTTTCTTTTATTTATGAGGTCATAGTGAAGCTCTTAGCTTTATTTAATTTTCAAATGTTCTATTTCTCCACCACTTCCCTATCCATCTTCCTTTCACAGTGTAGTGTTAGCTCATTCTAGTGCTCGATTAAAATCTACGGCTTCTCTCGACTCTCCTCCCTTTCTTTTCACTTCAACATCTGTCTCTCCATCATCTTTTTCATCCTCATCTCCAGACTTTTCTTCGACTGGGTACTATGTCATCTCATTCTCCCATCTATCTGTCTTTACGGGCACCCGTTATTAAATTTCCCCTCATGACAAATTGTCTCGTCTAACCACACCAGCCAACACCCAGATCCTAACTGAAACCACTCATGCTCACCTGCGTTCCCCTCCAGGTGCAGTCAGAGACGTTGCCCCGGGAGCACAACCTCGTCATGACCCGGTCTGGCTCTCTGATCAGCCAGGGTCACCTCGCCGGAGGCTGGGTGTGTGACTCAGCGACCCTCCCCATTGCAGGACGCAGGGCCTCCCGTTCTGGCTTCTCCCCAAAACGTACAAGCACTGGTCTTGCCGAGCATGACCCCAGCGGAGATGGAGGCGGTGGGAACGGAGGAGGAGGGGATGGGGGAAACGGAGCCAGAAATGGAAATGGCGGTACTTCAAGAGATGGACGTAACTATGCCCCTGTCCTGCAGGGGGAGGTGTCTGGACAAAGAGACTATTCGGGTACTCTTGGGAGAGGAGGACTGGAAATGGGGAGCAACTTTGTGGTTCCACGACCAGACAGGGAGATTGGAGGACTATCACTGACAGGGAGCCCACCTGTCTACCCGGAGACAGCTGGATTTATGGGGGACTGGCGAGATCAAATGGGGTTGGGGGGATATGTTTTGGGTAGGAGGGACATGAGCCCTCAGCTTTTGCCTTTTCCGGGCCAGCCTCGAGGAACCTATGGTGGAGTGATGGGCTACGGGCCCAGTTGGGTTCCTGGGATGGAGGCAGTGAGAGGGCCACCTGGGCCAGGCGGTCCCTCCTTGGCACTGAGAGTCGGTGAGTTCCTACGGCTGCGTCTCGCTCAGGTCACGTATGACCCCTCACAGCCACCGTACGACTCCGTGCAGGTGTATGGCCTGGAGGGGACAGGATCCAGGGCCGGATCCCTCAGCTCACTGGAGAGTGAGGGAGAGAAGGAGGATTGGGGGGCGGGGCTTGAAGAATGGGGGCCCCAGTTTCAAAAATTAGCACAGCTCTTCAAAAACAGAGAAAAAGCAAAGGAAGATCAGGAAGACATTGAAGAGGGTGCCAAAAAGGAGAGGGGGATAAAAGACGAGCTGGAAAAGAAGGATAAAAATGAGCAGGCTGGAGACGAAGGGAAAGACTGAGGGGAGGGGACAAAAAGGAAACCAATGGAGGCAGAGGAGGCAGAGAGGAAGGGAGGGACTAGGAGGACGATGAAAAGGCAACTAGAGCTGGAATAATGTGAAGAGAAGTTAAAGGGGAGAAAGATGAAGAGGCAAAGTAATAAAAAGAGACAGAGAAAAATGAGCCTAGGGAGGATGGAGAATGCGAGGGCAGGAGAGGGAGTGATTGATGTAATTTAAAGCAATAAGTGTTGAAACGCTGATATGGTTGAGCACAGATACTGAGACAATGCAGAGGCTGCTTCGGCTCGGGGCAGCAACAATTTGTTAAACGCTTCGGACAAAGAAAAACAACCCAAACATCCCAGACTCCATTTAATTCAGCTCTCGCGTATGGCATGAGAATTAGCTAGAAGAGGGAGACGTTCCTCCCCGGCCTGGACTTTGTGTCTGGAAAACACGTCTGTGCACTGAGGAAACAAACACACTTGTTGGTGTGAGTGTGATGCTGTAAAACCAGCACAGGGACAGTTTAAAGACTCAACAGGGGCAACATTAGCTGTAGGGTTGATGTGCATAAACAAACATTCAACAAAGTTTAGAAACTAGGCTAACACACAAAGGGAAGGAAAGAGGAACAAGGAACAGGGTGGCAAGAATGTGTGGAGACGGTCTTCTAAGTGAAGCGATTGTACAGAAAACTGTTACTTTTTACTCCATCTGATGTGGCAGAAAAGTGAATAATTCAGCTCGCTACTCCATTCCAAATGAAAAGGATGAATCATTTAAATCCTGCAAAAGATTCTCCCTCCTTTCAGCCCATGAGGAAAGCAGACATTGTGAAAAATGTTAATGATTTAGGGACGAGATCCCTCTTTCCCTGTCATGCCCTCAGCTTTTTTGTAATTCAGTGTTGATATGTTTACAGAGATTCACACACACACACACACACACACACACACACACACACACACACACACACACACACACACACACACACACACACACACACACACACACACACACACACACACACACACACACACACAAAGGAACTGATTAAAGTACGGCTTTGATTGTACTAAAGTCAAATGTAAAAGCTGAATATTCTGTGGATTTTTAAAGCTTTTCTCACTATTTTCATGGATGGACCCGTCCCCCATGAAACCAACTGCTGTAGTCGGACTTTTCACACTTGAGGATAAAGTATGCATGGCTCTTTTGGACACCTGCACTGCCCTAATAAAGAAATTTCCACGGATCTCTTAGTGAAACGGTAGAAGAACCACTCTCCGGAATCCCACATCAGGCTTTGTGTTGTCATTAAAGGTGGCGACGCAGACGAGCTCACGTTTTCAGCTGGAATGCACTTTTCTACCGTGTGATGTTCCATAACACATCATGTCAAAGATAACAGCTGTTTTATAGGATGTCAATGCAAAGATACATTGTTTAACTGTATGTAAGATCATTACAGATGTAAATACCGCTGAATATTATTGCTGAGAGAGACTATATAAATAAAATAAAATAAAATAACATAGTTTAAAGCAGATTTTAGGTGTCCAAATGGAGCACTGGTGGGACTATCTGTAAATGTATTGTAGGTTAGAAACGGATCAGCTGACCCGTACTAAAAGTCAGCACCATGTTACCCAACATATCTGGGTTTGTCATGTGGCAGCTCCTGTCAGCAAATGGACAAGTCAACAGTTCAATTATGAATGTGGCCTCTGGCAGAAGCTTGTTGAACAAAACGCTGTAGAAATGTGTCGGCCGGCCGGTCCAAGTGAACACCTAATCCGACAGAAATCACGTTGAGTGGTGAGGAACTCCTTTTATGGGCGAAACAAAAATCAATCATCCTGTTTATCGTTCAACTTTTTATGAATTTAATAAAAATGAACATTTCAGGACTTTTTACACATTTAACACTAATGCATTTAGCTTTACTTTGTGGAATTCTTATATTTTCTGTGTCAAAGACAATAATTTTAGTCCAAAAGGGTCAAAATGATGGATAATACAACATGTATGATTTATCTGACATTTTGAAGTGTTTCTGTGTAAAACAAATAAAAAAAATTACTCTTTTATAGATAGATTTCCAAAAGGTCTCTGGAAAAAAAAAGAGTTGATATCCTGCAGAACTGATGAGCTGATGGGTATGGTCAAAGAGCAGCTTCTGTTTTAAAGCAGCCATGATATACAAAATGTCATATTAGTTCTTGCAAATGTTACTTTAAAATGAATTTTACCACCAATATACGTCTTGGTTAATGTGGCAAGATTTGAAAAGATTGTTGTAAGACTCTCCAAACACGATGTACCCCACATGAGGCAAAAAACTGGCCTAATTATCCTGCAATGTGAACAAGACCTAACATGACTTTAATGTGAATTTTTACGGTTATTTACATGCAAACATTGCACTAGAATAAGTCACACACAGACCTTTTGGTGCATCAAGGAACATTCCTTGCATCATTTAAACTTAAAGGCCAAGTGCACAAAGAAACCAAAATACGATGGGTCACTCTGAGCTTCACCTGCAGGCTGAAAGGGAAAATAGTCTCCTACACATATCTCCTGCATTAGCCGCTGATAGAAGACAAAGAAATGCTGAGATTAGAAAAGCTTGTCAGATCTGTGTCATACAAAAAAGATTCACAAACTCACCCATGAAGGAGAAGGCCGTTGTTGATCTAGTGTCCAGGAGACAGCATAGCACATCTCGGCTAGTAGAAGCTAATCAGTAGCATTAGCCACTCCACCACACAGCAGAAGCTTCCCCAGGCTTGTGTTATTAGTGGAGATAAAACATCGGTGCTCCAGAGAAAACAGAGTCAGGGGTAGAGTTGCATTGCTGTTAGCCAATCAGAGGCAAGATGCCCAAATATCAGGAAATAAGACTCCAAATCCTCCTGTTTTCTACTCCTCACTTCTCCGGCTAACTTCCTGAACCAGGAGAGCCAGAGCTTTTTTTCCCCACATGGACCGACTCACAAGGCATTCATTTTTGCAAATGTGTTTAAAAAATGAATGAAAAGGAACAGTTAGCATATTGTTTCTAACCTTATCACAATTTATTATAAGTAATAGTATTTTTCTAAATAAAATGACCTGCAAACCAATGTGTATAAAAAGTTTTATACACTTAGATGAACTTATTTGTTCTCTCTGTGTGAAACAATGATCCATGGACCAGTACCGATCCTTGGCTCATCGATAAGGAGCTCCAATCTAAAGGCTCATGAAACAAATTCTGCATGAATGGTAAACTGCTAAATGGCTTGTATTTAATACAACTCCTTCTAGAGTTCTACAACTTCCCAAGGCACTTTACGACACACTCATCCACCCATTCACACACATATTCACATGCTGGTGGAGATAAATCACAATGTAGCCACAGCTGTCCTGGGGCAAACCACCAAACACACGTGCCACCGGTCCCAGCAGACAGGGTGGGCCAAGTGTCTTGCCCAAGGACACAATGACTGCAGCAGACGGGGATCAAACCTTCAACTCTCTGATTACTGATATTGGACTTGTGGAATTTATGACATTGGTGACATTACACACTGGATGTAGATCCATTTGGACAAGATGCTCTGTAGCTTCATCATTTATTATCTGAATGGATCTGACTCCAACACAGATGTCTACTATCTTGTAGGAAAGCGCATCAGCATTCGGAATTTGCTTCATGGGAATGAATTAGATCAAATTTTACAACCTTCTTTTAGCAGAAATAGTGGAATTCCTCTCAGCCTTGACCCCAGATGCACTGGAAGTGACAGTTTTTTGTTGGTGATGATATTTAATGTAGGTGATCAAATAATTTAATGCATCATTCAAAACTCCTGGCAGTATAAGGATGCATAATCAGACGGAATGAACTGGAGCTGTTTTAAGGTGGCTCTTTGGTCTTGGTTGCGTCAGCTCATCAGTCTTGAAGGATGAGAAAGCTTTCTCTTCAGACACCGTTCAGGAAGCTAACTACAATAAGATATTGATTATTTACAACCTTTACACAGCACATTCAGAATATCTCTTAAAATGTGCCCTTTTTGGTGCTCCATCGCTTTGCTCACAGGGTTCCCGTGACCTAAAGGGGAGACGAGCTGCCAGCTGCAAGTGTCCACCACTTTGGTCCACTCTGATCTTGTTGTTGAGGTTTTCTTCTGTCACTGCTGAGCTGACCAATCAGGACGTCACACTGTAGACCTCGCTACCCTTTACCTGAGCCACAGACGTGTACATGGTGTCACTGTGCAGACTGGGGGGGGGGGGGGCATCAGGAGTAATGTACTAATTACTGTCATCACGGAGAGACGAGGGGGGTGCAGAATCTGGGAGAAGATCTTACTGATGATTGATTTTGGCAGATCAATAACGCTGCGATGCCCTTTGGCTTCCTTACTTGGTTCCTCAGCTACACAAATGATTAAGAGACAGTTTATTTTCTGTGTGGTTTGAATTATTTTTGTTTCTTTCTGTGTTTTAGTACAATCAGAACAAGCTACTTGGTGATGTCCAACTGCTAGAAATAGAAACTCCAAAAGTCAACAACTGCTAACCGTTTAAATTCCTTTAAGTGAAGGTTAGCCTGGAGCCGTGTGACTCCTGCCTGCTCGGGTAAGACGTTAAACACCCACGGGTTTAAAAGCACCCCGAAAAAAGAAAAAAAAATAGTAAAAACAAAGGTCCTAATGTTCGAAAGCAAACTCCAATGTGTCCTTAGTGGCTGAGCAGGGGCGGCAGATGGCTGAGTACCATCCAATTTAATGTGACCTCACACGGCTAAGTGACCTCCGAAAGTACACACACACACACACACACACGCACACACACACACACACACACACAGAAAACACAGAGATGCTAAGCAATGCTAAGTATTGGTCTAAGAATAAAGTCCAACCAGTGTTTTGACACTTTGGTGTCTGATTTTCTTTTTACCACATGAGCCATTAAAAATACTGACTCAGTCTGTGGTGCTTTAACCCTCTGGAGGCAGGCGTTGCAGATTAGCAACGTTAAAACCTACCTACCTGGTTACTCCACACACGTATTTCATGAGCATGTTTTAACTCAGAAGTACCCCTGAAGCACTTAGTGGTTCATCCTTTTATCAGAACTTATTTTGAGCCTGAGAGGGTTACAGATTGACTATGGAACATCTGGGAACCCTGGTGTTCAGGGGTTGTATTGCAACAACAGGACTGATTTGCTGACACGTTCCAGAGACAATTCGTACAGGATAAGGACTCATTTCTACTAATACGTTTATTTTACAACAGTATTTATTGTTAGAACGTCTTGTGGGCTCAGAATCTGCTGCTTGACTTGCCAAGTCTGCCATTTTACACAGTCCCAACCTTTCCTTGCTGAGCAGACTTTTTAGCGCTACGGTGCCCTCTAGTGGCTGGGAGATGTAAACATAAACACAGTGTTGTGCCCGACAGAATAAAACATTGATTATTTATCTTTTTTAAACATAGTTTCAAAAGGAGACACTGTACATTCATTCATTCTGCACACCTCAGAACACCCCATGGAGGTTTTTCTTTTAAATAAAGCTTTTTATTAAAATGTTCCATATTCTAACTTTAACACCACTTAACCATTAGATAATATGACTTAAATTGATGATTTCTTGGATATAATGAAAATTATTTGTGGTAAAAAAGTAAATTTAGTAAACTAGAAAAATTGTCACTTAGAATTGTGTTACAGGAGCAAAGTAAGGACCCTTTGGTCACCTCTCTGATCCCGCTTCAGTGTAATTCACATGGAAATCACCAACTTTGTCCACCTCACAAAATAAGAACAAATAAAAAAAGACTCAAGTTTTTGGGCAGTCGTTGCAAAAGTGATTAGCGAGCCGTACCAATAAGTGACCTTTCTCTCCTTTCTAAATACATGGTTTATTCCACAGTCTTGATTGGCTCCAGGTGTCTCATCTGCACTGATTCAAAGCTCTGCTCCGGCTGATTGGTCAGAATCACAGTGATGACTCTCTTGATTTGTCTTATTTCAGAGTTTTGGAGTGCCGTGCCGACTAAACCACTCAACAGACCTGATTATCACACACCCCGAGCCCACTAAATTGGTTCAATCAAAAGCATAATTAGTTGATTCAGTTGTTTCGAACGGAATGAAAAACCAGTAGAATCGTTTTTTGTTTCTACTCTGCTAGCTTAGATGCTCTGATGAATAGCTGTTTAGTTCTGATTAAAAAAATAATAATAATAA